TAAAATTCGTTTGAAGTTTTAAATATTTTTACGTAGAAATAATTTCCAATTACACACAGTATGTATTTTAAATATTGCTTTTAGTTGCTGATATTTATTACAACGCAATACAATGTGGAGCTTCTTTTCAAAATTCTCTCACTCGTCCTTCCTGTTCTATTTAGTACTATCAAATATTTTCTTTTTATCGTTGAGACAAATAGTGTAAGTCCAATAAGACAAGCTAGCTATTAGCTAGCTTATTATATTTAAACATTTACAAACTGTAATAATTATGAAGTAAGATATATTCCAAATATTGATTAAAAAATGCAATGAACAGTTGAAGCATCTACTGGCACAAATCCAAAATGATTGGAATTCATTGAAGGATAAATTAGAAATTGATATTATAAAAAAATATGCTAATTACGTAAGAATTTTCACAATAAGTATGATGGGTAAGAGAGAACACAAAATTTGTAGTAATATATTTTATATATAATAAATATCTATACATATATAAAAAATTATTCATTTTATATTAATTTTTTTACTAATGAGATAAAAAAAATGTTGACGTATATTTTAACACTTTTTTAAAATAATTTACGACATTTACGTAATTGAATTTAAATTAGATTTTACATTTTCTAGCGTCTTGTTATATTTGTATGTTCCTTTTTGGAATACTTCAAAATCTACCAATGATCCTTGATATTATGTTACCATTGAACGAATCACGGCCCTATCAGCTTCTCTTAATCACGGAATATTTTGTCAATCGGGATAAATACATTTACGTTATAATGTTACATGAGTTTTTAGTCGGTTATATAGGATTAACCACAATATGGGGTACCCTTGCGACAATTACAATATATGTAGCGCATATATGTGCATTACTTAAAATCGCAAGGTAATATAAAATACGCTTGTGTTCCTTGTCAAATACTTGTTTCAATCGTAATATATATTAATAGATTTATACAGTTATCGAATAGAAAATGCGATTGAAAGGAATATATTAGTGATTCCTAGTCCTAAGAGAGAGTATCTTCTTCATCAGAGGATTGTACATGCGATCGTTATGCATCAGAGAGCTACCGAGTTAGTATTTCTATATTTTTATTATAACATTTTCTGAAAAATACCCTATGTTTACAAAATCATTTTTTATCCGTTATATCTAAAGTTACATAATTGCACATAAGATTATTGCATACTTAATGCAATCCAAATTATAAATTGATTAAAATTAAAAACTAATTAATATTTAAAAGATTTGTATTAAATATCTGCGATTAATTTCATAATGTGTTTCTATACTATAGATTTAACAATATAATGTATCTATAAAGTATAAAACATTAAATCAGACTTTTTAACAACATTAAATATACGGTTAATTATTAAAAATATAGGAGTATTAGCCGCGGTATCTTAACATATGTTGTCAACGTCATGATCATAAGTATGATGACCAACCATCCCGAATTTTGCGGGATATCCCGATTTTTTACTCTCTATAGAAGTGTCTCGAAAGAACGTTAGACAGACGCCATTTATTATCCTGATTTATTATTGTGTAATGTAAATCATCATATATAAAATTTGTTATTATATTAAGGATCTGTTTTACCAATTCCAGTTAAGCTAATCGACGGTTAACTTGCAGTAGTAGATTGTTTTATTTTATTAATTGATTTCATTAATAAATAAATATTTTATTTACATAGATTTTTTTTTTATTGGAAAGTTATAAAAACCTATGTAGAACCTCGCTTCGCATTGCAAAATATGTGTGGACGCAGTAGATAACTATTGCATCCATATATATACATACTTTACAATATACTTTACAATATATATATGTTCAAAATATATATATCAAAAAGAATAATCGTTAACGACTTTTTATAAATAACGAAAAACCTACAAAAAATTATAAAAAACTTCTGAAGTTCACTCAAGGTCATGATTTTGACAATATATGTCAAGATTAAGGTGATTGGAGCTGGTTTTTCATATTGTTTAATGCAGTTTTTGATCAACTGTAATAATTCTCTGATTTTCTATAGAGAAATATCTACTTTCCGCTTAATATTCAGCTTCTCTTAAAGGTTCAATGAATTTATGATATCCATTTTTTTGATACCATTTGCTATTCTGATCGTAGTTGGCGTTAGTTCTTTAACTTTCAATTTTTTTCTAGTAAGTGACATTCTTCTGTATTCTATTTAATTATTTAATTTTGAACTGTTTTCTAAGTAATGATTTGTTATAGTTCTTCCAATTGATGACATCAAATAATATCAGTAATATAATTGTATCCGCTCAATTAATATTTAGTCATTTGATATATTTGTTTGTTGCTAATTACTGTGGACAAGCAGTAATTAATAATGGAGTAAATCTGTTCAACGCCATGTAAGTGTTGTGTTTTTATATGTGTAAGTTATAATATAAGTTATATACGTTATAATATAAGTTATATACGTTATAATATAAGTTATATATGTTATAATATAAGTTATAAGTTATAACTACAATACAATTAATCTACCATTATTCTCTTTTGATTTAAGCCGATATTGTGTTTACTATTCTGATGTTTTGGAACATACACATAATTAATTTAATGATCATTAACAAAATATATTAAATTTTTTATTAGTTTACAATTGAATCTATTTTTGTAGTTATAATGGATTATGGTATGCAGCACCATTGTCAACGCAGAAATTATTATTATTTATAATGCAAAGAGGAAGCAAGAACCTTACCATATCGTGCTTCAGCATATTTGTTGCATCCTTGGACGGTTTCGCTACGGTAAAATCAGCTTTATCAGAACCAAAACGAAAAAATTAAAGAACTATTTCTTTATTAGAAAAGAATTAAATTTTAATGTTTATACAATATATTAAAAAATATTTACTTTCTAGCTCACAAGTATGGCAGTATCCTACTTCACAATGATTTATTCAACGCGAAAATAATGAGCTAAAAGGAAAAATTGATTTCTAATTAATTAAATTTTTTATCAAATTAACATAGTTGTGTAACGTATACGTAGAATATGCGTTAAATATATGCCATTGACAATAAATAAACGTATATTATTTTTATTCCTAACACTTTATACGCAGATAAATTGTTAAAAAGAAAAAATTATTGTAATGTATGTGTAATTTAATAGTGTAAGTGAAATATTGATAAATGAATAATAAGATTTAAATCTCTTATTACCATGGCGGCTTATATTAATTATAAAAATTAATTATAATAAAATAGATTATAATTACTGTCTAATCGTGGATTTTAATGATTATATACGATCACAAAATACCTACTCTGATTAGAGTTACTTGACATATTTCTTGTGATCTTGTTACTTAAAATATCTTTTCTGATCTATGATTATACATTTTAAAAAGATATTCAGTATAAGATTGTTATTAAATTTAAAACAGTCAATTCATTGTTTTATTACTTTAGGTATATATTCTATCAATGTCGCCTTCGACGGTTGAGAAAAGACTGATATGTCGTTCGACACATTAGAGTGTACTTTCTACTGCGCATGTGTCTCAAAACTATAGAAAATGATAATATAAAGCATTATTGTCTTATAATGAGACGAAGAATCGACTTACAACAATTTGAATAATTTATGTTTTCTTTCTTCTGAGAATGAGAAACACCGATGTAACTATAATTTTTTCATTAAAATGGTTTTAATGTATACCACGTATCTATTACGACAAGTATCAGTTATTTATCAAAAATATATTTTATCATCTGTGTTTTGTTTCTCACATAATTTAAAAGAAAAGGAATAGCGTGTGGTGTTAAACAAATATTATTAATATATACTCCAACATTTTACTGTTTACTTGTTCAGTTCGATTTTAGTACAACATGCATCTAGTTGAAGAACATTATTATACAATCAATAAGACCTTTTTAAAGGTATTAGGTATCTGGCCTCATGATAAATCGCGATTAGTATTTTTTCAGCGGGTGCTGTTTGTTACTTTAGCTGTAACATATATTGTCCTACAGGTAGTTATATATCTAAGTACAGCAAAACTATATATAAATTTTAAGATATATTTTAAAAAAATTATCTACTTTGTTTCAATAAATTTTTGAATCACAGAAGCAAGTAGAATTCAATTTTTATAACATAAAAATAAAATTTTTTAATTGTTCGTTTATTACGACAATATAACTTAAGCTTTTATTATATTATTATTGATGCCATAACTGTATTTATTGCTTTCAGTTGTCAGTTTTTGTTACAACAAAATATAATATGGTTCTCTTCATTAAAACTATGTCACTTGCTTTCCCTTCTATATTAATTACAATAAAGTATTGTGTTTTTATTTTCAAATCAAAAACTGTGAGTTGCTTTTAATTCTTCTTATGCAAGCAAGGATTATAGATTTTATTTATAGAGGTATATATCTAACAAGTATTAATAAAATCAATAAACGTTTTAATTATAGATAGAAATCTTGCATCATTATATCCAAGAGGACTGGAAAATAATACGAAATAAGTTAGAATATGATATTATAGAGAAACATGCTCATGATTGCCGAAATTATACTATCTTCCTAATCTGTAAGAAAATGTTTTCTTAATTTCATTTCATATTTATCCAATGCATTGTAAAAATAGCATTTGTCAATAATAATGTTTAAAATAATCTGCTATTATATTCATCTTTAGTCTACAATATCCACTTATGCCCAATTTCTTCACCTCTAGATAACTTTTATTTACACTGTTAAAAATGTTATGAAATTTAATATACTTTTAAGTTACACGATTTGAACTTAATTTCATGATATTACATTAAATTTAATGTATTTTTCATGAAAATTTATGAAATTCAATGTACTTTTTATAAAATTTTATGAAAAGTACATTAAATATTATAAATTTAATGTACACGTTCATTACATTTAAGTAACTACTGTAACTTAATTTAAGATATCTCCTAGAATACAATGGGGATATCTCCTGGATAAAGTTATCCGTAATTTATCTAGAAGTGAAGAAATTGGCCATTAGACAAACAAATATAAATATATAAAAAAGCACATTAACTTTTTTTATAATATATGCACATATTTATTAATTTTCATGTTATGAAATCTAGATACATAATTATGGTATATTTATAATAAAATCTTTGTGTGTATCTTACAGGGTGTATTGGTCTTTTAATGGTCGCTTTGATCATTATTCAATTTTTTCCAGTTATTCTTGACTTTGTTTCGCCATTGGACAAACCTCGGCCATGCAAACCTTTTATTACAGCAGAATATTTTATCTTTCACGATAATCATTTTTATACCGAAGTGTTCCATGAATTTATTATTGTTACATTATGTGCGTCAATTATGGCAGCCACGGCAACGCAACTATTATTATTTACGTATCATTCTTTCGGGATGTTCAAAATCGCCAGGTAACAATCAATTTATATTAATTACCAGCATATCACGAATTAAATTTGAGAATATTTGCAGTCATCGCATACAACATTTCGTCGACGATCATGTGTTACGTATGTCAAATTGTGAAAAGGAACGAGTAATTTGTAAGAAAATTGTCGATGTTGTAATTGCACACCGTAGAGCTACAGAGTTAGTATATTGTGGTTTTTTTTGTTTTTTAAAACTCTTTGTAACGTTTTTTTAGAACATTTAAATTACTCTTACTAGTAATTGTTAGTTTCAACGTTGTTAAAACTATAAATATAAATATAAAAGACTTGAGTAGGGAATATGCACGGTTTATGTTTCTACATCTCAAGGATATTTTATTCTTTTTTTTAATGTTTTTTAATTGTTGTTTAAGGAAGAAATAAATGTATGACAATCTCTTAAATATTCTGCTATCGTACGATAATTTTGTGTACATATTCCTTTATATTTAATTTCTCCATTATATTTAAAGGTTTTCGAACATTTTTATATCATCACTTAATATCCCATTTTGCGTCATTGCTATCTTTGGAGTGTTTTCATTGAGCATCAATTTATTCCGAGTAAATATAATTTCTATTTTCTAATTATTAATAATAACACAATTACTTATACATCAAATAGTATAAATTCATTTCAATAACAGCATTAAGCTTATGATTTCTAATGATAATCAAATAGTTTGTTCAAGCGGTAACAATATTGAAGAATATGGAAGATATATTAATATCTTTTTTTGCCATTTTGAGCCATCTAAGTTACATGTTCGTAGCGAATTATCTTGGACAGAAGGCTATCGATTGCAATAATGAGATTTTTAGATTAATGTAAGTATTAATAATTACTTTTATTCAATTAGTGTTCAACTTTTGTTAATTGCTCACATTTAATATACCAATACCAAAGAATAAATATATTAATAATAGAAAATTTTATAAATATCCGAATTCTAGAAGATAAAAAAAGTTCTGCTTATTATATTTTTTTAAATTAAGAGTATTTTTTTATCAGAACTTAATTCTTTCATTTCCATATTGTGTGAAATATTTATTTACGATTTACATTATATGTACTTATATCTTTAAACGACAAAATTCCATCCGTTTTTTACAAAATTTATTTTTCAATCGTAAGTAAATTCTTTTGAATAAATTCTTTTAGGTTGTTTCAAGATAGTTTCTTCTTTATCCATATTTTTAGATATGGTACATCGTGGTACTTAATGCCTGTCACCTCACAAAAATTGATTTTATTTTTAATGACGAGAATTGGTAAAGATTTTTACTACACAATCGGCTTCATATTTGTGGCAAAAATAGAAAATTTCGCCATGGTAAGAAGCAACGCGAAAAAAACAATAGGATTTAACTAAGATATATGTATACACATTAAATATCTTTTTAGCTTGTTAATACTGCGTTGTCCTACGTCGCCGTAATGTATACTGTCCAATGAGAACGAAAAAGACACATCAATAACACAGTGTTACTCATGTATAGTTATGTCAACTTCAGTTTTTATGTTTTTTTTATAATTGTAATATACGTAGCACACAAGTGTATTATAATCATTATATTAGTGCAAATTATTTATATTATATCTTAACAAAAAAAGGTATTCTACTAAAATAATTATCATTATTACATTTTATATTTTGAATTCTTCGTTTAAAACTACACTGAGAAAAATTTCTGGGCTTTATCCGTTCAAAAAGTAACAAACGGATATTTCCGACTGATTTTGATCGGATAGTCTTATAAATCCGATCAAAATCAATCGGAAATATCTGTTTGTTACTTTTTGAACGGACATTTTTCTCAGTGTACATATACGAACTATTGTCAATAAAACAATTAAATGCACTTTTTGATGTAAAAAATATACATTGTAAAGAAAACTCTGCATAAAAATCTTTTCTTTTCAATTTTTATTGTTATAATTAAAGGGCATCGTTAAATTATTACAAATAAGATAAAGAATCCTATACTTGATTACATGAAATGTTATTGCTCAAAGCGACACAAAATGTGTATTGCATTTGTTATTAAATTTTATTTAATAATGATGTATTAACATATTTTATTAATATAATAAATTCGAATTAGAATAAGACATTATATATAGCATATTTCATACTTACATAGATAAAAGTCTGATTTAAGTAACCTTTACGAATTGAGTATTAAAACTGATCTCATTCATTAAATCTTAAAAAATTGTATTATAATTAGTGTTGATAATTATATACTGTGAGAATTTTTAAATACGATTATATCACGAAAAACATAATCACGAATCATATTATCTTACCTAATATTCTTACTTCATTTAGCACTTTTCAGTATTAACAGTTATAAAAATTGCGCCTTCTCTATGCTTTCATATAACTAATAAATGATACTGCATTGAAAGTTTTTTTTACTATTAATATATTTACATACAATTTATTCCCAAAGGTATTTATATAATAATAAAGATATCTTATAGCAATTACAATGCGATATTACTTCGAAATTTCAAAAAATCATTAGAGATGTGTAGCGCTTGACGATTCAAACTATACTGACAATAAGTTCTGAAAGTTTGGCGACAACTTCGTCTGCGCCTGCGTCAATGAGAAAAGGAATATGTGAACGTACGATAATAGCATACGCAACATTGTACGAAGAAAAACATTTTGATAATTCTTTTCTAAAGGTACAAATACAGTGATAATTTTAACCCAACTATATCGTAATATTAGTTTCGATAGGTGAATATTAAATTATATATTCTAGTTACTATTTATGTTCTGAGAAAATAATTCTTTTTCTTTATAGTTTAAAAAAGTTTAAGAGAAAATATTCGAGTTATTCAATTGCATGTTATTCTATGAAGGGTGAAAATAAAAAGCCTAGTTCATATGTTGTTCAACATTCGAAGAGAAATGATATCGTTCATAGATCAATACTACGATATTAATCAGAAATTATTGACAATTATGGGTTTATGGCCCTATCAAAAGTGGAGATACAGAATTTTTCAAATTACATTGTTTCCTAGCATACTCATTTCTTTTTTGATCGCTCAGGTTTGCTTGCATTTACTCTGATTCGATTTTATAGTCCAATAGTTATTATGTAATTGCTTTGTTATATATCTTAAATAATAGTATTTTTAATAACTTAAAATAAAATCAATAAGAGCCTGCGTAAATTGTAATTTTTCGAAATACTCATATTTGTAATAATAATATTATTAGATAATTATTATTTTGATTTTATTTAAAATTATAATCACAATTATTAATAATAACTGTTAATTATTAAGAGGGAATTATTAATTATTTAAATATTAAATTAAATACATGAATTTTTTAATTATTGTTTACAGTTGGCAACATTCATCACGTCAGAATTCAATGTAAATCTTATATTAAAAGTTCTCTCACAAGCATTTCCTTGTTTGATATATTTTTTAACATATATCTCCTTCCTTCTGAGTAATAAAGATGTAGGTACACAATTCTAAAAACAGAGCAAAATATACGCGCGTATATTAATATCATATATTTGTCGGTATATTAATATGATATATTTGTCGCGTATATTAATATCATATATTTATCGGTTTCCGATGTTATTATACATATTCATAGATTATTCGAAAGTACAGATCAAAATCTTCTTCGAATGGGTTCGTTATGAATGGACAACGTTAAAAACTACAGATGAAATCGATATATTAAGAAAATATGCTGATTTTTCCAAACGATTCGTGGTGACAATGACAGGTAAAAAATTTAGTTAAATTACTTTGTTCATTTTGTTTTCAAACTTGCATGGACTTATTACTAAAATTAGAATCAAATAGTAAGTATATGTTATAAATATGAATTATATTATAAGTATTGAAAGATATGTAGCTTACACGGAGAGAATTTTCTCTTAGAATTTAGCCTGAAAATCATAATAATAGTGGGACAACATAGTATTTCAAAGAATTGTATATGAGTTTCTTTAATTTATTAATATGTGTCATAATAAGATATGTAATATATTTTATTAATTTTACTAAAGGGTATAGTAAAATTTCAACATTTTAAAATATGTTACGCAGTTTATGATTCTTTATTATTTTAAAAGAATAGATGCTAAGTAGTCATGAATATATAAAATAGCTTATACAATTTTTACTATACAGCATGATATTTTTAATCTGATTTAGTCGCTTATAATTTTACCATGTAACATAGTAATTGATCGACTGTAATCGATATTTATCGGTTATTTTCGTTGTCGAGTGTGTCTCTAGCTACGCTAGAACTTACTCACTTCAAAACATTTTACAATCTGCATTATAATTTTTACTACATCATTTATAAAAAGTCTCTTGTATATTTCAAAAAATCTATCGTTACTGATAATATTTCATTATTGTTAAGTTGTCCCAAGTTTATTACCAAACATGATGAAATTTGTAATGAATTTTGCGGAAAAAAATAACGAAAAATTCTCTCCGTATAATAACAATAAAATTTAAATATTGGAATATCGATAAAATAATACTTTTATTATATTCAACATTTTTTATCGTTATTAGAAAAATAAAATAATAAATAAATTTATGCATTAAATATTGAAATAGGAAAAAGTTTTGATATAATCAAAATTTTAAGATATAAAACCTTTTGTTACATATAAGTATAATTTATATACATATATATATCTGTTGTTATATTTTATAGTGTTTTTAATAATATTCCTAAACTTTTTCGGCTTGTTTCAATTTCTTCCGAACTTTCTTGACATTATTGTACCGCTTAACGAATCTCGTGAGCGCCATTTCTCATTCTTAGCCGAATATTTTGTCGATCAGAAACGATATTTTTATCCTATTTTGACACATAATCTACTGGCCATTTATATTGGAGGAACTACAGTTATTTCTACTGGTACTATGCTTATGGGATTCATATTTCATATTTGCGCAATGTTGCAAATAGCAAGGTAAGAATTACGAAAAAAGATTGAAATAATTTAATGATAAAGTTTATTAAAGACAAAGAGTCCCTTTTATTATATGTATATGCTGATATAAGAGAAATAATTTTTCAAAAATTATTTATTATAATGTAATTTATGTTATTTAATATAACATTTTTATTGATAAAATTAAATAAATCACATAGAAAGAAGGTAATAATCTAAATATGATAACGGAAATTAATACATTATTTTATTTATTCAAGAATTTAATTATTAATCGATCCGTTGATTGTAATAATTAATGTGACGAACATATTATAGTAATGTGACGAACAGAATTTATATATTTAACAATTGTTAATTTATATAAATATATATAACGTTTTAAAATTATTAATTTATATAAATACGTAAATAAATGCGGTATCCTTTCCCGATAACTGAATTGCATAGAAATGTAATTCAACTTTGCAGTTATCGTCTTGAACATGTAAGTGATAATATACCATTAGTATCTAAATCTGATAAAGATTACATTATTCGGAAAAGAATAATCAACGCCGTTGACATACATCGTAGAGCGCTCGAGTTAGTATCTCATGTATTTCAAAGAGGAAATAAGTTTATGGAAAAAATATCGAAAATATATAACATTTTAATATTTGTTTTCAATAATAGGTTTGCCGAATTCATGTTATCCAGTTTTGCGAATTTTTATTTCACATTAATTGGTATAGGTATCTCATCTTTAACTGTTAATATGTTTCAAGTAAGTATATCAACCTATTTTGACTATTTTGTTTTATGTGCTATTAATATTTCCAAAAATATTGTATATATTATTTAATATAGGTGGAATATAATATAGGAACAATTAATTTATATTTTATCTGGGTGCACTTCCGAAAACCGAATCCCTCCGATTTCGATGAAACTTTGTAAAAAGCTTCATCTTAGGTTAAAATGAAAGTCCTCAAAGGGATTTTTGGCAACTACTACGAAAAAGCTGTTTTTTTAAATAAAATAATAAAATGCATGTTGTGTTTATATTTATGATGAAATTATTAATTTTATTGTATAAACTAAAAAAAATACGATTTTCCACGCAAAAAAAGGCAGGTTTACCCCACTTCCCTCCTGTCAAGGGGCATACAATTTTTCACGCAAAACGACTCTACACCACCTCCCTCCCTCCCTCCTCAGGAACGTACGACTTTCACACGAAGCGACTCCCACCCCACCTCGCTCCCTGCTTAGGGGCGCAGGACTTCCGCACGAAGCGACTCCCATCCTACCTCTATCCCTTATACTTATAGGGGCGCACAATTTCCACCCGACGCGACTCCTCTTCACCTCCCCCCCTGCCTAGGGGCGCACGACTTCCACGCGAAGCGATTCCCACTCCACCTCCCCTGCCTGCTTAAGAGCGCATGACGCGAATATTTATTTTACTACTTTATTCAAAAAAATAGCTTTTTTTGGGAGTCGCCAAAAATCTCTTTCCAAGGTTTCTATTTTAATCTAAAATAAAGCTTTTTGCAAAGTTTTGTTGAAATCGGAGGGATTCGGTTTTTCGAAGTTTATCCTTTGATCTTATCTGAAGATACAAAAAAATTATTAAATTTAAAGTTAATTCTTTCTGTGTAAAATAATAGTAGAAATGGTATCAAATTAACTGTATGTAAAATGTATAAATAATACTTATGATAAAAATTGCAATTTCTTCGAAAAAAAAAATTATGTTACAGTTTCTGCAACTTACGATGTTTACAAACGATAAAAATGGAATACTAGCATGTGGCTTATTAACTATAGCCCATTTCGTTTATATGTTCTTTGGTAACTTGGCCGGGCAGATAGTCACAGATCATAATATCAATATTCTTAATACAACGTATGTAATTAATATTTAATACATTCTTCCAATGAATACAGTCTAAAAATAGTATAAAATAGTATTTAAAAATTTCTTGTTTATATCCTTTTAAACATTTGTTATAAATTTCCAAGCAAGGAATTGCAGTGTATTTATATTTGCATATTCACTGCAAACTTTCGCATAATTAAAATCTATTAATTGTTCTTATACCTAGGTATACCGTTCAATGGTACACGATTTCGTTACAAGCACAAAAATTATTATTTTTTATTATGCAAAGAAATACGAAAAATTACTATTTTGTTGTCGGCGGTATTTTCACCGCTTCTCTAGAAGGCTTTGCCACGGTAATGTACTCATAATGAAAAATGTACATATATTTGTATATGTATATAGTGTGTATATATATATATGTATATATGTATATAGTGTGTATATATGTATATATACATATATGTATATATTTATAGGTTATTATTTATTTTACATTGTCTTGAAAAAATTATTTTACAATTAAATCTATTCTAGTTAATGAGTATGTCAATATCTTACTTTACGATGATTTACTCCACAAGATGATCACACAGCATTTAGTAGCCCATTGTAGATAATTACATGAGATTCCTAAAAGAGCCAATATTTCATTGACGAGCAAGCGGGTATGTATTGCAATTTCTAACTTCCATAGAAGAACATTACTCAACAAGTTAAAGAATATCAGAGTTCGCGATAGCATCACATCACGCAGAGTAAAATTTTGATATCAACAATTAAGAAAAGTTAAAATATGTTATACAAAATATAAAATGTCTTAGTGTTCAACATTCAAGTTTTGTTTATTTATGATTCACAAAAATCACAGTTTAAAATAACAATCAAAATAAATACTTAGGAATTTTATTGAAGTTTCTATAATATTATTTATTATATCGTTTATTATAGTTATTATAGTCGTTTATTTTTTATTCATTCAATTATCTATTAACTAAATCAAACGTTATATGTAAATTTTATAATATATATATATATAAAGGTTTATAATAATTGCAACATATAAAACTTTTTCAGAAATGTGTTACTAGCGGCAGAGGATAATATTTATTGCTTATGTGTAAGGATATGTATAAATATGTATGGATTTATTATAATTTTGTTTTGCACGAAGTAAAAAATTAAAAGATCTCAAGCATAATTATTATTATTAACTCATTACATTATTTCGTAGATTTTTTTTCATATACTGTTTATCTTATTCTAAAATTGTCAATTTTTATTTCAAATTTTTATTAAATTTATTGTGATGTGTATTCCCCTTATATTGTAATCCATAGCAATGACAATCAAAATAAGAACGAATAGTATCTTTTTGGCTCAACTTTCATACTATTAGAAAAGAGTAATTTTTAAGATATAACCTATTTCGTTATTTAGATTTATGACTTTCTTTAATATATACACATTTTTATACATTTCGCTCACGTATCTTTACACTCAATAAAACTGCACATTTTTGCACATTAATATTTTAATAACTGAATAAAATTAAATATGAACTTGTATATGACACGTCATGGAAACCACTCGCGTAACAAAGCAAGCGCGATGCTCGACGTTTCGGACTACTATAAGGGTGTCGTACGAGAAAGCCTTCGGGAAACCTATAATCGCGCCTGCGTCAATGTGAGAAAAAAAGCGGGGGATATTATTTTACCCTTGCTCTGAGAAAACTACATCGGATGACCATAACGTATAATTTCGATGATTCAACCATTCTGTCGCTCCCTTTGGCGTAAAAACACGAATGCGTGCAATTTATGGTCGTCCCTAACTTGACGCGGTATTATGAACACCAATGATAATATTTTATAAAAACATCCGGCGAGGGTAGAAAACTATTATATCACTCTACCGGAAAACTTACCATACGGTGTCTTAATATTGTTTTTTAACATGTTTTTAAATTGTGAAAGAAAAACTTCGCCAAGAATCATTATTACAGATTAAATAAAAATTTCTCTTGGCGGTCTATGGCCGTATCAACAATCGAAGTTTACGAAAATTAGTCATATCTTTCATTTTGCTATAATGGGATTTATAGCGTTTTTTCAGGTAATATATTTTTTAGGTACCTATTATGTATTGTGTATCTCGTGTAACTCTATTCAAATAATCTTATACAATAAGGCTAAATTTTTATTAAATTTATTGTGATGTGTATTCCCCTTATATTGTAATCCATAGCAATGACAAAATAAGAACGAATAGTATCTTTTTGGCTCAACTTTCATACTATTAGAAAAGAGTAATTTTTAAGATATAACCTATTTCGTTATTTAGATTTATGACTTTCTTTAATATATACACATTTTTATACATTTCGCTCACGTATCTTTACACTCAATAAAACTGCACATTTTTGCACATTAATATTTTAATAACTGAATAAAATTAAATACGAACTTGTATATGACACGTCATGGAAACCACTCGCGTAACAAAGCAAGCGATGCTCGACGTTTCGGACTACTATAAGGGTGTCGTACAAGAAAGCCTTCGGGAAACCTATAATCGCGCCTGCGTCAATGTGAGAAAAAAAGCGGGGGATATTATTTTACCCTTGCTCTGAGAAAACTACATCGGATGACCATAACGTATAATTTCGATGATTCAACCATTCTGTCGCTCCCTTTGGCGTAAAAACACGAATGCGTGCAATTTATGGTCGTCCCTAACTTGACGCGGTATTATGAACACCAATGATAATATTTTATAAAAACATCCGGCGAGGGTAGAAAACTATTATATCACTCTACCGGAAAACTTACCATACGGTGTCTTAATATTGTTTTTTAACATGTTTTTAAATTGTGAAAGAAAAACTTCGCCAAGAATCATTATTACAGATTAAATAAAAATTTCTCTTGGCGGTCTATGGCCGTATCAACAATCGAAGTTTACGAAAATTAGTCATATCTTTCATTTTGCTATAATGGGATTTATAGCGTTTTTTCAGGTAATATATTTTTTAGGTACCTATTATGTATTGTGTATCTCGTGTAACTCTATTCAAATAATCTTATACAATAAGGCTAAATTTTTATTAAATTTATTGTGATGTGTATTCCCCTTATATTGTAATCCATAGCAATGACAAAATAAGAACGAATAGTATCTTTTTGGCTCAACTTTCATACTATTAGAAAAGAGTAATTTTTAAGATATAACCTATTTCGTTATTTAGATTTATGACTTTCTTTAATATATACACATTTTTATACATTTCGCTCACGTATCTTTACACTCAATAAAACTGCACATTTTTGCACATTAATATTTTAATAACTGAATAAAATTAAATACGAACTTGTATATGACACGTCATGGAAACCACTCGCGTAACAAAGCAAGCGATGCTCGACGTTTCGGACTACTATAAGGGTGTCGTACAAGAAAGCCTTCGGGAAACCTATAATCGCGCCTGCGTCAATGTGAGAAAAAAAGCGGGGGATATTATTTTACCCTTGCTCTGAGAAAACTACATCGGATGACCATAACGTATAATTTCGATGATTCAACCATTCTGTCGCTCCCTTTGGCGTAAAAACACGAATGCGTGCAATTTATGGTCGTCCCTAACTTGACGCGGTATTATGAACACCAATGATAATATTTTATAAAAACATCCGGCGAGGGTAGAAAACTATTATATCACTCTACCGGAAAACTTACCATACGGTGTCTTAATATTGTTTTTTAACATGTTTTTAAATTGTGAAAGAAAAACTTCGCCAAGAATCATTATTACAGATTAAATAAAAATTTCTCTTGGCGGTCTATGGCCGTATCAACAATCGAAGTTTACGAAAATTAGTCATATCTTTCATTTTGCT